GGAAGAGGAGGAGGGAGTGCAACACATGTCGAGGAACACGCCGGTGTGTGAAACTGATAAGAGGCTGGCTCCCCCTACAGTCATCAATACACAGGCTCTGATGATGGGGATATAGTGTGTGTGTGTGTGTGTCGTGTTGTCAATGATAATTAAAAACACGACTGTTATATCAGTCTTGGACCTAGTCATAGTAACTAGGTGTGTTATTAAGTTACAGTTTCAATAGAATCGTCTCTTTGCTAATTATTACGTTAAGTGAGCTGACGCCGAGCTCAGAGGAAATGCAAAAGAGGCTACATTTAGATATAATACAGTTAAGTGTTAGTTAATGGAAGAAATGTATGTGCGTTCATGTGCAGACGTATATATAGTTTGTTAATTGGATAATTCATATCCTGCAAAACTCCTAAAGAAGTCATGAGATGATGACCTTTCGACATCTGGAACATGTCCAAGTTTAGGAGACCTGACAATGTGTGCGCGTTAAACATGTTTAGGGAACATGTTCGTGTGTCATTTAGGAAACCTATATTCGCCCTGTGTTTTCTTGTGTTCGTGGGAGCATTTCTGCGATTGGTTGCTGTTGAAGCAAGGTAATGTTTCCCCATTGTTGTTTGGTGTATAATGATTAATCTCAACTATTTCTGTGTTTGTGTTTCATTGATTCCTCTCTGTTTCATTCTTATGTTGTGAGTACTGGATCGCCACAACACTACTTACTTATGACATGATTTGTGATGTAATGGCATGAAGTCTGAACATCTTCCGACACTTCGTTAAAGTAAGGACAAAGCCACAGCGCTAGTTTCATGCAGAAAGAATTACACACTAAAATGTGGAGATTTCCTGCTTTTCTCTGTTTCAAATCCAATTAAAATCTGATTTATAATATAATACCCTATAGTATTTGGTTGCCATACTTAAAAAACATTACTCAATCAGCCTCTAAAGAACCAACATAAACTACGATGTCACTTTTGATGTAGAAATAGGAAAGATAGGATTAACCAAATAAATGGGTCTGTGGTCATAAAAGATAGCAGCAACAAGTGAAAAATAATTGCCTATTACTATTTCGGTAATTAACTCATCTGTAAAAGTGATTTCCCTGCCTCTCAGGTATGGATATAAGTTGAATATTACATTAAAGTTCATATCTTCGAAAAGAAACAAGACATTTAAAGCCATTATCTTAGATTTGAGAAACAAGGATGGACATGTTTTACTTTTTTCGGACACTTTATAACGCAATTAAACATAATAATAAAACATAATCATCATATTAAACAATATTGCAAGTATTCGTTAGTTACCGGACTGATCCATAACCTGACAGAAAGCTACATTTCCCGGCACGATCGTCAACAAACGGTATTAAACAAAACGTCTTTGGTTTTTTTGACTGAAAAAGCAATTTAAATCCATGACCTTAGATTTGAGACACTAGGATGGACATGTTTTACTATTTTCTGTCATTTTATAACACGATTCAATCGACTTATCCAGAGAATAATCCATACATTAATCAATAATGGAAGTAGTTGCAGCCCTAATCCATAACCTGACAAAAAGCTGTTTCATGCCATAATCGCCATCAAATCACCAATACATTTGCATTAAATTGATGTTTCCATTCAGACATCTAAGCTTAAAAGTATGAGTTAAGAGCATAGACTGTATGGTTAAGAGGTAACCATCCACCTTTGCATAATTATAGTTAAATTACCTACAGTTTCCCAGCTAAATGGGACATAACCAATCAATAACCAACCCGTGTTATGCCCTCGTCTCTGCAGCGTCACTCAGATATCACTGAAATCCACCTACAGAATACTAAATAACTCAAATACAAAGTGTGTGTTTATCATCAGTGTGTGACGAACCCCTGCGACTGTCAATGCTTCACACTCTCTGTGCTTTCAAATCAGACGTTAAGAAGGAATTTGGGTTCACAACGTCTGCGGTGTTGGGAAAGCAGACGGTTCCTCTCCTCTGCATTTTGCCCTCAGCTAAACTCAGTGTTGCCATGGTGACAGATGGCCGCGCTCGAGTGTCCAAATCAAAAGCAGCTCACGGAGAGATAGGAGGTGAAAAACACACATTGATCAAAAAGAAAGAAATTGGTAAAGACTGCAGAGTTTCTCCACATTAGATACATGTGTGTTCCTGTTTCGGCCATAAGGAAAGCCAGGGAACGCATGACTGTATTTACTGCAATATAAAAGGATATATAGAGGGATATACTCAAAAGAGAGAGAGAGGTACACTGCATTCATTGTTATTTCTGAATTGAATGCCACAGATCACGCTATACTGCATGATTAGTTTGGTTTGTATCGATGATAAAGAGGCCCTATTCTGCTTATTGTGGTCTCATCTTTCCTGTAGTGTGTTATATTATATAGGTGTGTGTGCAAGTAAATGGTCTGCACTTGAGCTTCTATTGGCTAGCGCTCCAACACATTGTACGTGATAGGCTAAGGGGCGGGACATCTCTAAGCGGTTGACCAATCACAACAGAGCCGGCCAGCTAACCAATCAGAGCAGACTGGGCTCTGGTTTCAGACAGAGGGTGAAAAGAGGTGACCCTACACCTGAACATCAGCAGGAGAGGACTCTTTAAAGTAGAGACACTACATACTGATATACACCTGAACATCAGCAGGAGAGGACTCTTTAAAGTAGAGACACTACATACTGATATACACCTGAACATCAGCAGGAGAGGACTCTTTAAAGTAGAGACACTACATACTGATATACACCTGAACATCAGCAGGAGAGGACTCTTTAAAGTAGAGACACTACATACTGATATACACCTGAACATCAGCAGGAGAGGACTCTTTAAAGTAGAGACACTACATACTGATATACACCTGAACATCAGCAGGAGAGGACTCTTTAAAGTAGAGACACTACATACTGATATACACCTGAACATCAGCAGGAGAGGACTCTTTAAAGTAGAGACACTACATACTGATATACACCTGAACATCAGCAGGAGAGGACTCTTTAAAGTAGAGACACTATATACTGATATGAACCTGAAATGAGCAGAATATGGCCCCTTTAAAGTTGTTATTTATAGTAAAGGGAGGAAAGAGACAGAGAGATGCTGACGGATCCTGGAAGAAAATCTGATAACAAATCTCAGTGCCCTTTTCTCCTCCGCCGACCCGTTAATCAGACACTTAGCTCGCAATCAAACTCAAGCCCAATTGTATTTACAATGGCAGGTGGCGTGTGTCAGGATGAGTGAAGAGCGCAGGCTGATCAGTGGGTGTTTCTCAATGTCGAAGACGCTTCCTTGGTAGGACATGTCCCTCCGAGTCAGGTCCTTCAGAAGCGAGGCAAGAATCCTTCCTAGCCTCGGAAAACGAAGAATTGTGGAACAGGCTAACAGGTGTGCAGGTGTGCAGGTGTGCGTCATATGCGAGGCCCCGCCTTAAATTACATTACATTACATGTCATTTGTTAGACGCTTTTATCCAAAGCGACTTACATACTTACATACATTCAGTACTGTGGACAATTGGAAATTGGTCCGTGCGCAAAGCATTGTGGGGATTTTAAGACCGCGGTGGATACACACGTGCAGCCTCGAAATGTCCCGCAACGAAGGACGCCGGCCTCGGTAGAATTCAAAGCATGCTGGACATTGGAACAGTCCTGCGGCGGGACTCGATGACGTAGCATCCTTGAAATAGTGGCTCTGGAGCATCCTTCCTCAACATTGAGAAACACCCACTATTTGAACCGTGAAGTATTCAGATTCGTAAGTAAAATTGAAATTGAAAATGATCTGTTAGAAGTAAACTGTTGGCAAATCTTATTGATAACAAAACATAATATTTAAAACTTTTTTTGAATTGGCGTAGAAGCATAAATTGACAGTAAAGAAGATACTTAGGCAAAGGTACCTCAGAAATCTTACTTAAGAATAAGCACATTAAGAAATTACCTTACAATATAAGCAGGAATCCATGTCAGGGAGGCTTTGAGTGTGACCGAGGACAGTCGTTGCAGATTTCCTCTGTTTTTGGCTGATTTGGATACGACACCACGTGGTTCCTGGACCCAATAAACCATCTCTGCATGACCTTTTTCAGAGATGTAGACAACATCTGTGAACCTGAATTAGAATATACAATAAAAAATGTATAATAAAGACGAACTCCTGGACAGTTATGGTGCTGAAGTAACAATTCAATTCATGTTTTAAAATGTGCATACTAATACTTTTATATTATTTGTATTGTTTGTTTTTTTACATTCTTACTTTAACTTCTTGTGTGTGTATAGATTGTTTATTCAAATTATTTTATTATTACATTCTTAAATGGTGCAATTGTCACAAAACCCAGGATTAATTCTGATTATTTATCAATGTAATTTCATGAGTTTACATGTTAATTTCTCTATCCACATATGTTATTACAGTACACAGTATTCATTCTACTATACAGTATTTCATTTAGCATTCAGTTTTACCTTGTTCTTTTTATATATATATATATTTTCCTATACATAGACTGCACTATTGTCTGATGCACAATATAGTCTTTTTTTAAAGTATATTATATGTTCATTGTAGAAGGAGCCAGGAAATGAAAATGTTCATTGCCAAAAACCATGCTATAGCTATTGTGCATATGAAAATAAAGCCTTTGAATCTTTCAATCTAATAGTCCTACATACTTTAGCACCTGTTGATCTATCAGTTCAGCCACAGCTAAAGTAGGGTAACTTTAAACACTTTTTACAACAGTTAGAGAGATGGTAAAACTGTAGGATTACAAATACACACAAGATAAATACCTGCACATTTCCACATTAACTTACAGAACAGTTTTGAGTCCATTCAATTCACGTTACCTTAGAAATAGGGCAGGAACATGTTTGTTGGGGAAGAAGCATAATTTGAGTCTTCGTGGATTTATTAGTGGGACATATCGCCGCCACGTGGACGGTGTAAGGTAGTTAGATCGGTTGCTCTGCGTTTGATTGAGTGTGCCTGGCTTCACAATAAAACACAATAACAACACGGTGTAAAGATGGCAGCGATGGCACCAGCGTTACGAGTGTGCAGAGGAATACTAAAAGAACTGCGTGCCAGCATAGGACCGACCTATAATAAGTCTCTGGCTTACAACTATGTCATGGACCAGTTCCGTAAGAATAAGGCGAGTTTCACACCAATTGCGTTTAAGCTAAAGTTAGCAAACTGTCATCCCAAAACAGCATGGCTAACGTGAGCTAACCTGATAACTCTGTAATCACTGTTTTACGTGCTAGTTTTAAATTATATAATGGCGTTTAATAGTGCACAATAGTACGAATAGAGCATATTAAACTGAATATGATTGTGGGGCTTTGTTATTGCCTTTTTAAATCATATTTGACAGTTGACAGTTCACCACAAGGTTACTGTAGGACATGCTAACATTAGCTAGCAGCTAACTAGCATTAGCATAGCTCAGTATGAATACACAGGTGATAAAACTTCCTGATAGTTATTAAGCTTAATAAATGAGTTCCTACGCACCAGAGTGCAGCCTTTTACATAGGATTAATAAGCCATTCATTGTGTCAATTATTGTAGTTTATTTACGTGTTTATACTTTACATTTGAACAGCAATACACTAAATTATATTTCATATAAATCATTAAGTTATATTTTTGGTTATCAAGGATGTTGTGTTAATCCGCGGGGTTAAATAGATCCTTGTTAAAACGCTTTTATCAGTTATTAGCAATGGATTTGTTTAGTCCTTCTTGCATGACCACATTGCAATTACAATAATTAATTGAACTATATATGTATTAATTGTAATTCATATGTAGAAGTAGAACTACTCTCCAATTAACTAATCTGTCCTCATGCTATCTTAGTGTTTGGCCTCCCACTTGGTTTTCTGTTCTCACCCAAAACACAGTCGAGCTGCTATTTCATATTAAATGTTGGTGTGTTTTTTTAGCATATATTGGCTTAAAGCTTGTATTATTAATGCTTGGCAGACCATGTCTCACCAGGCTGGTCGAAAACATGTTCAGTCACTGGAGCAAAATAGCTTGGAGCAACTCTTGCTTGTCACTCTGTATTTGTCCAAGCCCCTAAAACACCCCCAGGCATTTTAATGTGTATGTTAATGTCTATAGGGCCTGTCACCCAATGCTCACTGTCAATGTATGGTTGATGAAGGAAGAAAACGCAGGAGAGCGTGCGATGTATATAGGCGCGTTAGTTTATGTTACATAGTCTGGAGACATGCAAACTCCATGTTGCCCACCAGCTAGACCTTATGGCTTTTTCTACATAACCTTGATTTCATTTTCTCTATAGAGTGGTACAGGCCGAACTAATAACATCCTATAGGCTCACCCATGTCACCTCCGCTAAGCTAAAGGCGGCTAATGTTCGGCGTGATGATGTTAAGTCGTCTCATTTAGACACTTGTTAGAAACCACTGTTTTTATGACACGTACAAGCTTCAAATGTTCACCAGTGGGGGATTGTATGTCTTAAGCTTGTGTAAACAGACCTTATTTGAGGCCTCTTACCAAAAACACATTCAGAAAACCATTGATTCAAGACGGGGAACCGGAGGTGCTAAAATGCCAACTCATTCCCAGGTTTAATGACTCATTCCCACACCACTCTATTGCAAACCTCTGTATGTTTCTATTTATGCTACCATCTTCATTTGATCATAACTAACATTTCCCTTCTCTTCCCCCCCCCCCCCTCCCCCCCCTCCTCCCCCCCCTCCTCCCCCCCCTCCTCCTCTCACAGATAACAGGTGAAAGGTACTGCCGGGCCCAGCAGGAGGCGCACCACGACTCCAACACCTACCTGTGTCTGCTCGGCTCCACCAGGACTCACCTGGCTCTGCACAAAATGTACCACGGGAAGGGCGAATGCAGCCAGGAGTCAGCAGCTGCCATGGTGGGGCTCAGGCTGCCCACACAGCCGGGGGGGAAAGGCTGGGAGAAGTGAGGACAGCGGGAGAAAATCCTTGAGATCTCAGCTTTGGTCGTTTGCAAATCACCACATGAAAAGTAATCTGTAAAGGGATAACTGTTTGGATGGCAGACTGTGCCATCATGGACTGCTTTGAGGCCATTTCACTTATTCCTGTTGTATTGTTCTACCAATTTGAGTAACATTTGAGTATTTGAAGCAACTGTGAAATATGCTATGATTAAAAAATCTGTTTAGTTTTACAAATACTGTACTCTACTTCTTGTTCACGCCTGCTTTTGTCGGTGTTTCAGCAACCGTTCAAACATACTTTTTTTGTATTCATCTGTCACATTAAATAATATAAATATTAGTCACTGTTTCTGAGTTATTTAAAAAAACATGGCCACAGATTATCTAGAATACATTTTGTTGAGTTGTTCTATTTCAATACATTTTCACTTTGGCATTCAAGAATGATTTCATACTTTCTTATAACTAAGCATGTATTGTTGGAGTCAGATTAAATTATTAGGCACATCAAAAGTGAGGTAACCTACCTTAATAAAGACAATCAGAACGAACGGTACAAAACCATTGAACAGAAATAGGTAGCAGCCTTCCTAAAAGTAAGTGGCAGCAGGTTATAATATAAATAGTGTGGAAGGATTAAAAAGTGTGTCTCGCACATAGACTCTAATACTTATTTTGTTATTCCTAAATAAAAGCAAACAGACAAGACATGTTCTAAATAAACAAGCGTAAATGCAAATATAATTAAGTTAGAAAGTACTGAGTTTGTTGGACATACAACCTGCTCACATATTGTTTTTAATCTAAGGTTACTTAAGGTATGTAGTTCTAAGTGAAAATACGGCAGGCTAACTAATCCAATGTTGTCAAAGAAGAATTTTGGAGTGGGAAATGATGAATTCACATGGGCGTGGTGGTTTGATTGTCACAGCAATTTGCACAGTTGTATATAGGATTATTTACAGTTTCTCCCATCAGACTTATCCACTGAAGCATATAAAGCCTTTCTATTGGCTGTCATCTACTCTCTAACTGAAGCTGTTAAATAAATGTAGTGGAGTAAAAAGTGCAATGTTGGCTCCTACAATATAGTGGAGTAAGAGACAAACAGAACCTCAGCTCCTTGCCCTGTGTCGTCCATCACACTTTTTTCATTAAATCTGCCCTTCCTGTTTCTCCTTACTCTCCAGTGGTGACTAACATAGCCTTCAGTGTGAATTTAAATAGACCAACCCTAAAGCAAAGCAACGCACAGTGACACAGGGAGTAAGACACAAACACACACACACACACACACACACACACACACACACACACACACACACACACACACACACACACACACACACTTAGTCCTGGAAGAACAGAAAGTCCAATGCATTCTGACAAACCAACAGCTTCTGTCAACATTTATTCTGCGTAAAAAGCAGGATGTAAATGTGCGTCTCCGCTCCCCGCTGTGTTTTTGGGGAGGGGGGTTCGGAGGAGGTGACTTCCCGTAGATCTGAACATTTTTATGTCAGCATTTATGAGTGTAGGGTATCAAATAATACACAGTACAAAATATGCAGAATAAGTTAGAATACTCTATAATAGACTGATTTTCCTGCAAATAAAAACAGCTAAGTATATATTTTTAATTTAGAGTTACATTTTGAATATTGTGCAAAAGTAGTTGCATTTTTTTAGAATTAAAATTAAAATTATTTACCTCTATTTATAGAATAATAAAGAATAAAACTGTTTATTAAATAAAATAAAAAATAATAATATGCACACATCATAAAAAAATACAGAATATAAAAACATGCAAAATAAAAGGTAGAAAGTAAAAAGTAGTTGCATTTGTTTTATTTAAATTAATATTAAATGATGTGTGGTCGTAAAGTGCAATGCAAAAAAATTGAATACAATTATTAAAATAAATTAAAGAAATTGTAGTTTTTTTTAAATACAATTAAAATGCATTGAGGTAGTCAGGAGTACAATTATTCCCCTTGGAGATCAATAAGGTGTATTATGGTATGTGCATACTGTAGTTTACAGGAGGAGAGCAGAGGGGGCGGGCTCTCCTGTCAGAGAGGGGCTGGTCCTCTTCTGGAGGAGTCAGGCAGCATCTCAGGAACTTCTGCCTGAAATAAAAGCATCTGTTGAGAGCTCGCTGGAGACAATAAGGCGTGCGCACTTTACGCATTTGGACATCTGTATACCATTACCTCGTGTTTATCCAGGGTCTTTAAAGAATTGGATGCTCACATTAAGGAGCAATCGGAGAGTAAACTGTTTGCAGGAAAAGCTGCAAGGACGATACTAAGGGAGGATAAACAAGAAGCCAAAAAAAAAAGGATCGGAGAGGGGAGAGGGGACGACATGTTTGGCATGATGAAGAACTCGCTGTTCGGTAACACCGAGGAGACGGAATACAAACTGCTGAGCAGCGAGATCAAGGTAACGCACATCCGGTCAGATGCAACTTCATATAGCTGGTATCCAGGCCTGGGGAGTAACGGAATAAATGTAACGCGATTACGTTATCAGGATACTAAAAATGTAATTTCCTTACTTCAAAACATGACTATGACAGGTACAATTTCAAAGAAAGGAGGGGATAGCTATCAGGATTATCGTGATGTGATGCATTTCAAAAATAAAAAACGTAATATTACAAACAGGCTTGGGGAGTAACAGATTACAGGTAACATGATTACGTAATCAGGATACCAACAAAAGGTAACTGTATTCCCTTACATAAAAAAATATGTAATCAGATTACTGGTATTTTAAAATAAATAACGATAGGCTACGAACAGGTTGGGGAGAAACGGAGTTAGTTTATCAGGATACCAAATGTGTTTTACTGTGTTCCCCTAACATTATAAAAATGTAATCAGATTACTGGTAGCACACCTTGAAAGACAATTTGTAATAAAAATGCAGGTTCATTTAAAAATAATGGGATTATAATCACGATTACCATGTCACAATACATTGTAAAACAAATATATTACAAACAACCTTGGGAGTAATGGATTACATGTTAAACTTCATCAGGATACAAAAAAGGTAACTGTATTCCCTTACGTCAAATCAATGTAATCAGATTACTGGTTAAATCAATTAAAGTGGGCATTACTAGCATGACAATGCGACAATACGTTTAAAATAAATAATGATATAGTACGAAGAGGCTTGGGGAGTAATGGATTACATGTAACAGGTTTACCTAAATAGGACTACAAAAAGGTCTGTGATTCTTTACAGTTAGGCTAAAAAAGGACGTAATCAGATTACTGTCATGCAAACATTTAACAAAAACTGGGGATTACTATCAGGTTTTCATTGTTACAATACCTTTTACAAAACTATATATATTATAAGGCACATGCTTCAAGTGAAAACATACTGCAGCCAATTTACTCAATTGTAGTCCATTAATTGGAATAGCCTGAATCTGCTTTTGGTTTTCATTTACGTCCATTCCTCTTCTTGTTATTGCAGTAGATGGACACCTGATATATTTTCTTTATATGTATGATATTCTTTTCTCTTAAACTTATTTGCATTACATCTGATATTGAGGTAATCCAAAAGTACTGGAAAGGAATCAGGTTACTTTTATATTGTGATACTCAGATTAGGTTAGCTTTTTTTACAGGTAATTCCTCAAATTACACCTTACACCCTTTTCTCCGCGGCTGATTACACTCAGTAATCCTGTTGTGTTTTGTTTTGTAAAAGGTGCACGGTTTCCTCTTCTGCTTGCGTAAATATTTATAGCGGCACTTAACATGGTTATGTTATGGCAATTGTATTTAAAATTTTCCTGTCAGGGACTTTGCGGCGTTTCTCCTGCTGCTGTCACAACCTCTGGAACAGGAAGTGACAGCCGGGCAGCTAATTGCCTCTGACCTATAAAGATGCCTGCTGAGCCGCACAGTGGGGGGGCAAAGGGGCAAAGCAGCCAGAGGTCCAATCAGCAATACAGATGGTGATGTCCTGGGTAACCTTAAAATAAAAAACACACACACACACACACTTCAGCAGAGATGGAAGGAGCACTCAGGTATTTGACGTTTGGCGCAGCTTTCAAGACAAGGCAATTCAAAGTGCTTTACAAAAAGTAAACATTAAAAGCATGAACAGAAACACATTATAACATGACATCCAAAGCCAGGAGCCACATCCTTTCCTCAAGTTAAAGTAGAATTACTACGGTCTAAAAATACTCCATTACAAGTAAAAGTCCTGCATTCAGTAGAAGGAAATACGTTTTATCAGCAGTTAAAGTACTTGTTATAAATAATGTCTCCTTTTACAGTATCTTTTCAGTATTGAATGTTATGTTATCCAGTTTTATTACTAACAAGTAAGTATCTAAGTGTATTTTTGTAGCATCCAAGTTTAGTTTACTTTTCAAATACTGGGTGGATGAGAAGTAGAGTACTGCATCATAACATATAAGCATGTATCATGTTTTAATATTTATAAATAAGTAACTATGAGTGTTAAATAAATGTAGGGTAACAAGTACAATATTTGCCTCTGAAATCTAGTGGAGTAGAAGTATATATTAACATAAATTGAAAACACTCAGGTAAGTTACAGGTTATTTAAGTCCAGTACTTGAGTAAATGTACTTTCCACCACTGTACCTTACGTGTGACAAGTAGTTTTTTTGTCAGCGTGACACTGTAGATGTTTGTGGTAAACCTCTGAGCTCAGATTTATGGAGTTAGAGTGTACACTGATACACTGACACTGACAGGCTGGGGAAGTGACGTTGTAAATGTAACAGGATGACGTTATCAGGATGAAAAGATAACTGTGTTCCCTCATTAGTAATTGAGTGTGTCAGTGATGACATTCCTTTGTAGGCCAACCTGGCAGTTAGCATCGCAAGGAGGACTCCCTCAACAGAAAGCCAATGGGGGTTTTCCATTGGATTGTGGAATATTGCAGAAAGTGGCAAACACACGTTTATGATATTTACACGTTTTGTTCAGCAGGATAATCTCCACATATAAACACCACTTTTATAATAGATTAAGTGATATATAAATTGGCAGAAGTCCACAGCTAATGTTGGGCTATCAAGGAACTACAGCACGGTCACATGACTTCACGCCACCACCGCTAAGCTAAAGGCGGCTAATGTTCGGCGTGATGACGTTTAGTCCTCTCATTGAGCCACCTGTTAGCAACCAGTGTTTTTAAGACACATCAAATCTTCAGACATTCAGCAGTGGGGTATTTACTGATGTATTTTATGTCGCAGAACAAAACATGACAACCTCTTCAGCTTGTGTTAACCACAGACTTTATTTCAAGCTTCTAACTCCAAAAAAACCATCACTTCCAGATGAGGACATGATAAAATGCTGAGTCATTTGCGGATTATAGGACTCATTCCTGCATCACTCTCTTGTACCGTAAATATTTTTAAGGAGGAGTTTGTACTTTCCTTGTCAACACCCCCACTGCCACCCCTTGTTATGTACATTTTCCCATTTTGAATGTATGCACACGGCGGATGGATTCCAGTGAGCTCAGTGATGTGTGTTGTTTACCGAGGCGATGCCCTACAGGCATTTTCGAGGTTCTTCTCTCGTGCCCTGTTGACCCACAATGCACTACTGTAAATGTGCACATAGCCATGAAATGTCAAGGTTTGCATGTTCTATTGTTGGGTTTTTTAAATCAGCTTTTGTGTGTGTAACCCTGAAGAGCAGCTTACAAAGACACACAGACTGAGAGGCCTTTCTGCCAAACTGACCAGACAGGCAGGGAATCAAATGACCCAAAGTGACACGATTACCCACAAACACACACACACAAACACACACACACACACACACCCACACACACACACACACACACACACACACACACACACACACACACACACACACACACACACACACACACACACACACACACACACACACACACACACACACTGGGAAAGCAGATCTGTTCTGACACTGCATACTAACATCTTTTGTCAGAAGCCAGAAGTATTCGTAAATAACTGATGATTTCAGGTGATCACATTTTAAAAGGGGACAAAGGAGATCCTAATTAGTGATCATTTCTGTTACTGATCCAAATGCAGCACGATGTCAAAGTTCACCACGGGACACACACTTCGTCCAAGTGTTTATTAAAAGCAGGCTTGTTGAGTAACATGTAACAGGATAACGTAATAAGAATAAAAACAAAAGGTTACCTTACCGTTTCATAAAAAATACCTAATCAGATTACTGTTACACTTCTAAAAATGGGGGATGACAATGTTAATAAAACATTAAAAAAGTTTAAGGTCACACACTCAAGTAAAAACATCTTAATAATTATTTTCTTTTGTATTTATTATTTGTATTGCATTTGATATTGAGGTAATCTAACGGAAAGTAACCAGGTTACATTACTTTACTTCATTTAGTAACATAAGGACAATTACTTAAAGAAGACATATTATGCTAATTTTCAGATCTCATATTAGTATTTATGTCTCTATGACATGTTTCCATTCTTTAATGTTAAAAAAAGCTCTTTATTTTTCTCATATACTGCCTGTGCTGCAGCACCTCTTTTCACCCTCTGTCTGAAACCAGAGCCCAGTCTGCTCTGATTGGTCAAAGTCTCAGAGATGTCCCACCCCTTAGCCTATCACGTACAATGTTTCAGAGTGCCAGCCAATAGACGCGCAGGTTTTGCATAGTGATGTCACTATGTTATGGAAGTAAACAAGGGAGTCAAATGGAGGCGTTTCAGGCAGCAGGGAACACAGGGATTTTAGACCCCATTTACACGGGAACGTTTGCGTTTACGCACCGTATGCATTTTCAAAAAAGTCTTCCGTTCACACGCATTCGGCTCAATTAACGTGTCCGTTCACACGAGACCGCTGGAAACGCTGTAGTACATATGCCGGGCCTGTAAGTGGCGCTGCTGCCGCCACAAAATACACCAAAAGCAGCGAAGAAGACCCCGGAGCATGGTTGCCATGGTTGCCCTTCTGTTTATTCTCCGCGGTGGACGGCGTGTGCTCCTGCTGTAATTCTCTCCGGTAGTCTACCAGCAGATGAAAAACACCCACCTCTCCGCCTCTTCCAAGGGACGAGGGAACCGTGCGGCAGAGTTTCAGTTAACATTTTTTTCCGCCGGTCAACATGTCCGTTAAAGTTTAAATCTTCCGGACAAAATTACAAAAGTGCCGGTCAGAGGTCTTCTTTGTTATTTATCGAGCTTTAAAACAAATTGATAACGACTCTATATAATAATATAAGAATAATAAACGGAGCCCCTCTTTTCCTCCCCCTCTTCTGACAGCCCAGCAGCTGATCTCTGAGCAGGAGACGTGGGGAGAGGGAGACGGGGCTATCTCATCGTTATCAGGAAATGATCGTATAGAGGCGTACACACGGAGCCGTTTGCCCCCCCAGAGCGCTCCGTTTGCAGATCTATCCACCTTGGGACCCGTTATTGTTTGCGGGGTCCGTTTCTATCGTTTTGTTACGGCCTCGTGTGAATGAAAGGGCTATACGCAGGAGAAACTATGCGGATACAACCCGTATCGTCCTCGTGTAAACGGGGTCTTAGTCTTTGCAGACCATTAACATGCACAGAAACCTTTATAACACACTACAGGAAAGGGGAAAACCCCTACAAAGCGTAGTGGGCCCCTTTAAGAAAGGATCCGTGTCCTCCTTCCACCTCTGTTTTTTTTTTTACAGGTGCCTGGTAATCGTAACAGAATACATTTAACCCTCCCAACCCTGATTAAACAGAGAGGTCAAATGTCTTTAAATCTCTGGATCTGACTGCCTTCCTTGAACAGCCGGTATTGAAATCAGAGCCGGTCACATGATCTGTGCAGCACTCTCCTGACTGTGACACCTAACACTCTTAATTAAAACGGATACAGAGGAGTTGGCATGTCAAACAGCAGAATAACAGCAGCTAGAAGTTTGCTAATGAATGCAGAGAATTCTTTTAACAGCTCATGAAATGGCTGTAACAAGTCGCAGTGTTGATCAGTCCCCTGTGTGCTCTCCTCAGGCACGGTGTTATTATCGTCGTATAAGATGGCATAAGGTGACAGCTAAACACACACAGGCACGACACAATAATTGCAAGGCTTAACTAAAGTCAGGCTGTGCTTTGTCCTTATGTCAGTGTCACCCATATATAATGTTAATAGTGAGCCCCACTGACAAGAGGTACAGAGTGCAAAGCTTGTAATTACTAAGCAGGAGCCCGTGTACCTGTCACAAGTTAGAGCTTAATGATAACTCTGTGTTATCTTGTATTCTCTGAGTCTCTATCTTCTGTAACATGACCTCTGTTTACCACTGTGATGGGTTTCGAATAGGATAAGTTAGATAAAAGTTGTTAGAGATACAAATAGAGTGGTGCAGAGAGGACGTGTTTTGTCTGACTCAGAAGTTAGCATTGCAAAACTTAGTAGGCTTTGATCTTTCCATTGGGTGTTAGAATATTGCAGAAAATAAGTCCTGTAGCAGACACACGTTTATGAAATGTACTTGTTTTGTTCAGCAGGATAATCTCCACATATTAACACTACAATTATGATTTTCAAAAAGTAAATGCAACCCCCAAAAGACTATAAAGGAACTACATCACGGTCACATGAATTCACTCAACACTGCTAAGCTAAAGGCGGCTAATGTTTGTTTAGCATGATGACATTTAGTCGTCTCATTTAGCCTCTTGTTAGCAACCACCATTTTTAGCTTCATCAGCTTGTGTTGACCAGAGACCTTATTTCAGACATCCAACTAAAAACACATTCAAAAAAACATTGACTTTGAGACGAGAGAACCAGAAGTGCTAAAATGCTAACTCATTCCAGCACTCTGCATTTAAACACCCTGTATGAAAAATAGAGCATTATTCAGAGATTCAAGGATTCAAAGGTCATCTTTCTGTCATCCTGCAGCACAGGGTTGACTTATGAAATACAGTCGTAGCCCACGTATGCTACACAAGAAAAACAGGAAAAATAAAAGCAACTCCACTGAATTCTCTTATCTCAAAACATCAGGGAAACATTTGTCCATCAACCTTGACATTTGAGCACCAACGAATATGGATGAAAACAGAGAGTCCGCCTCTTCTCGTCCCACCACTTTTCCTCCGGTCATAAACAAGACAAAGACAAAATCATTTGCATGATATTTTTAGGTTTCTGTTTTCCCTCAGGGATGAGAAAACACGCTTAGGAAGCCCACGTGAGAACCACAATATGCAGAAGGAATTATGCCTGGAGTGTATTTGCATTATTGTCTTCTTTGCAGCTACAATTTCAAAGATATACAAAACCACATCCTCTGCAAAAAACAAACCGTATATTTAACAGCTGCCTCTTACATACAGTAAACACTGTTAGGAAAACCATATCACAATGTCATGCACAGAGCTGAATCACATTCATGGAACGAGCAGCTGTATGTGAAACCTGCAGCGGACAGATTCCTTCAAAACATATTAAAGTTATTGCTCAGCTGCATTAGAGTCGACTGACCGTGCTCCACATTAGCCCCACTTAATCATACTTAATGCAAAACTGTTGCATCATTTTAATGCAGCGAGTCTGTGTGTGTGTTTCTGTGTGTGTGTGTTTTCCTGCGCGCTGTTATGTAAGACATCTCTTGCCCATTATTCTCTGTAGGCTGACTGAACCCTGCCGAGCAGAAGAAACCAAATCAAATCAGTGTAAATACGTTTCATCTGCATCTCATTATTTTGGCTGCCCACATCGGTTTCACACACCCACACATGTGTGCAGTCAAACGCGCAAAAACACACAACCCCTCCGAGTGTTAACCCCCGCAAGTTCAAGGCTTTCAGATTGTCAACATCAGTGTGTCAGGGGTGAATCATTTCTGAGCTATAGCCTTCCCTGGTAAAGAGAACAACTCCGTTTTTGTGTGGGTGTGTGTGTGTGTGTGTGTGTGTGTGTGTGTGTGTGTGTGTGTGTGTGTGTGTGTGTGTGTGTGTGTGTGTGTGCCTCAAAGCGACGTGTGCATGCCTTAATGTTTCAGCTGTGTTCGGCCTGCTGATGGTAAATCCACCCCCTGATTTTTCTGTTCCTTTCCAAGGATGGAGTTAGCTTCGAGGTGCGGCGGTACGATGGCGCCAAATACGCCGTGGTGTCCTCTGAAGGGCGGACCTTCGACCAGGTGACGGGCGAGCTGGTGAGGAAGCTGCTCATGTACATCGGAGGGAGCAACGAACAAGGTGAAATCAGATATTAAACTCTGCTCAGATATGTTAATTCTCATCGACATCCATGTTATCTTTCCTGGTCTTCTTTCAAGCTGACAAGTGTTACACACATAAGAGATGCATGAAACAAAAGTACCAATTCATGTAATGGCAAAGAAGGATCTTATGATGTAATGAAGGCCAGAGATACTAACAATTGAGTCAATAAAAAACAAAATAATGACATTTTTTATATATATTTTTGTATAATTGTATATATTTATTTTATTTCTAATATTGTATCTTTTTTGTCTTTTAGGTTATTTATTTAATTTGTTCTAATTAAAGGTAGGGTAGGTAAGTTTGAGAAACCGGCTCGAGATACACTTTTTGTTATATTCCATGGAATGCTCTTAACATCCCGATAGCAATGAATATCTTAAGTGCTTTGACAATAAATACATTAAAAAATATCATCTGTGGAAGCCGTAGTACTGTAAAAAGCACGACCAATCATCTGAGCCGGCCCGGCTAAAATAACTGGATGGCCTACCTGCCTGTCAGCCTTCCATCTGTGCACAAACTTATCTCGTGCCCTCATTGGTCATGTGTGCGTTCGTGTGTGTTGGAGGAGGGGCTCTGTAAGGAAGTGGCAGATTTTCTCCGGTTGTGTATTTTCAAATTCTAGCGATCTCCAGCCGGTTTCTCCAAAATTACCTACCCTACCTTTAATTAAGTTTCTAGAGGAAATTGGGTCTCTCCAGATTTGCTCCTTTTTAAAATTGAAATAAATTCAGATTTCTTTTTAAAGATATTTATGTAAAGGATAAGTAAAATATCTAATAAAATACGAAATACAATAAAAAACGATATTTCTATTAACATCTGAAGTTAAAGTAAGAAGGTGTACCTTGCATTACATTATATAAAATGTATATTACAATTTGTACAGTGGTGTGTTAGTATCTATAAGATATTTGTTATAGTTACAGTATACAACTTTTGAAGCCCCGGCAGAAGCGTCAGCCAATCGAATCATATGCTAGTACAAGCTCTAGCCGATCAAACCGCTGCTTGTGTGTCAGGGGCGGGAGTTTCATGTGATTGGTTGTTGGTCGAGTTTCAGACACGCCCGCCGGCAAGCTTCAATGCACGCCGCTGTGTGGACGGGCCGTAGGTCAACAGACATATAAACCGACTGAAAGCGCATTCAGAAAACTAGGCCGAGGTCTTATAAAAACACAGACCCCGACCTTTACATGTGGTTATTTCTCTTTAAGGAGGATAGCTGTGTTCTCTCCTCTACGTTCCCTACGTTTTTAAACTCCCTCTCTGTCTCATCCTCTCAGCTGTTGCCATGGGTACAGCGGCTCCCATCATCATCACAGTTTACCCGAGAAATGACGGTGTCCTGTCTCGCCGTTTGGTGGTCGCCATCAGAATCCCCACCAGCTACCAGCAGGAGCCGCCGACCCCCAGCGACACCACCATCACAGTGGAGGACCGGCCCGGCATGACCGTCTACGCTCTGTAAGTCTCAGGTTAAAGGTCACCTATTATGCAAAATCCACTTTGTCACGTCTTTTCTACATCAACATGTGTCCCCTCTTCTTCATGTCTCTTCTACATCAACATGTGTCCCCTCTTCTTCATGTCTCTTCTACATCAACATGTGTCCCCTCTGTGTAAAGAGACTCTGAAAGTTTCAGGAACAAAGATTCTCTCTCTTTTTGTCCTGATCCATTTATATAAAAACCTGAAAATGAAAATGAGCTGATCAGATTTTGGCCACTTTATGATGTCATAACGATGTTTTGTCTTGTGTAACCATTAGCCAATCACCAACCAAGGTAACCCCCCCCCCCCCCCCCCCCCCACCCTATCACCTGAATCTCCTCCTAGAGCACCATTGTGTTCTTTTTAACCAAATATCTCTCAGAGGGGCGTGGGGAGGGGCTCCTTATTTTCATCTAAAGTAACAGACAGAGAATCAGCAGAGACATGTTCTGTATATATCTGAGAGCTATAATATATTGATGAAAAACAGTATAATAGGGGACCTTTAAATATATACAAGGTATAGAGACATTTTCTTGTTAAAGGTGAGTTTGAGAAACCGGCTCGAGATACACTTTTTGTTATATTCCATGGAATGCTCTTAACATCCCGATAGCAATGAATATCTTAAGTGCTTTGACAAAAAATCCATAAATAAATGTTATCTGTGGAAGCCGTAGTACTGTAAAAAGCACGACCAATCATCTGAGCCGGCCCGGCTAAAATAACTGGATGGCCTACCTGCCTGTCAGCTTTCCATCTGTGCACAAACTTATCTCGTGCCCTCATTGGTCATGTGCGCGTTCGTGTGTGTTGGAGGAGGGGCTCTGTAAGGAAGTGGCAGATTTCTTCCGGCTGTGTATTTTAAAATTCTTGCGCACTCGAGCTGGTTTCTCCAAAATTACCTACCCCACCTTTAAGTGTAAAAGGTCAAATAATATCCCCACCTTGAGGCAAACTCTGTAGTCCATAGAAGATACAAAGACTACAATTCCCGCGGTGCCAACCTGTTAAAAGTCACAGATACGGGCAAGTTGTGTAGAAGACGCAGACGAGATAAAGTTCTCAACAGTTATCTCAAGTGGCTTACAGGAAAAAGAACAGGGTGTCAAGTAGGTCCTAAGGAAAGTTGGGCTCCTTTGTTTACTTATCTAACATAGTGACATCACTAAGTGACACTCACGCTTCTATTGGCTAGCGCTCCAACACATTGTACGTGATAGGCTAAGGGGCAGGACATCTCTAAGCAGGTTGACCAATCACAGCAGAGCCGGCCAGCTAACCAATCAGAGCAGACTGGGCTCTGGTTTCAGACAGAGGGTGAAAAGAGGTGCTGCAGCACATTAAAGCATGGAGACAAGTCACAGGAGAGACACTACATATTGATATGCACCCTGAAGATGATAATAGGACCCCTTTAACGAGTGGCATGAATACAGTACCTCTGATTCTGAAACAGACACTGTAATCCTCCACCTTTTTAAGATTTCTATTTCCATTTCAGCCGGCAGTTTGGAGGCTTCGCGGCGGAGAGTGAGTACCGAGCGGAGGCCTTGCGTCTGACTCGTACTCTGGGTGAGACGGCTCCCTTCCAGCGTAAGCAGTATTTCTGCTGCAGCTACGACCCGCCGCTGAAGCCTTACGGACGCCGAAACGAGGTGTGGTTTCTACAGGAGGAGCCGTAGGAGACAATCAATCCAATCCGAGTCAAATCTGATGCCGAGTCCTTGATCTAACCTCCATTACACTTTCACTGCCGACACTCCTGTAGCTCTAACAGTATTTGATTGGTAAGAGCACTTGACAAACCATAACCCAAATGGACAGATAGAGAGTATAGGCTTCTGTTGAGCAGAAATGTATCTTAGCGAGTAATTTAATCTGCATTTCAATACAACCAAATGGAGTTTTTCGGTCCTAGAATAACACGTAAATCCATATAGTCCCTGTAATGCTCTCATCTCGCTACATAACTCACAGTAGGGCTTTGCACATCTTTCATTTGGTTTAGAATGTTGAACGTCTACAGAGAATATATATATAATGATAGAATATTAAATGGGAGTAAAAAACACACTTCCTTTTCCTGAGTAAGGATTGGGAAAGAAATAGGATTTGAGCCATAAAGTAGATCTAGTCTTTATGAATTGAGTGGAAATCAGCTAGCTAGCTATATGTTGTTATAAACTCTGTGATCAGATGTGAATCCAGGAAGCATTTATGTGTTGTGAATATTTTGTGTTTAGTGCATGACAATGCCATCTTTATTTATTGTGTAAAGCGATACATCTGTACCGTGTGATTTACCTGTGAAAAGTCAATATAATGTTCAGGTTGGATAGTGTTTCATAATATAATAAATATATTATTCAGTACGTATAATTCTAGTTGTATTTATTTCTTTAATCTGTAAAACATTGTATTGAAAACACACGTCTAGTTTCACATAACTTTTGAACCTGCCTGAAACGCCTCTATTGGACTTTTTTGTTTACTTAGTGACATCACTGTGTTTCACTCACGCTTCTATTGGCTAGCGCTCCAACACATTGTACGTGATAGGCTAAGGGGCGGGACATCTCTAAGCGGTTGACCAATCACAACAGAGCCGGCCAGCTAACCAATCAGAGCAGACTGGGCTCTGGTTTCAGACAGAGGGTGAAAAGAGGTGCTACAGCACAGGCAGTATGAGAAAAATAAAGAGCTTTTTGAGCTTTTTATAATAATAATAATACATTTATTTTGTTAGCGCTTTTACAGGTGCTCAAAGACGCTTTACAGATATAGTGAAAAGAAAAGAACAACAAATAAATATATATAGTTAAAGTCAAATAATACAAAAACAATCAAACATTAAAAGCCAGATTGAAGAGGTGAGTTTTTGTAAGTTTTTTGAAGGTGCATGGAGACATGTCACAGTAGAGACACTGGCCGTTTCTCAATCACGAGGATATTGGCTTCCAAGCCAATATTTCAAGGATGCTACGTCATCAAGTGGCGCAGCAGGACCGTTCCAATGTCCAGCATACTTGGAATTCCACCGAGGCCGCGTCCTTGGTTTGGGGGAAATTTCGAGGGTGCACATGGGGAGACTTCGCGACCTTAAAATCCCCACAATGCTTTGCGCACGGACCAATTTCCCCAAATCTGTGGCGGAAAATGTAAGGCGGGGCCTCTCATATGACGCACACCTGCACACTTGCTAGCCTGTTCCACTCTTCGTTTTCCGAATGCCAGGAAGGATTCTTGCCTAGCTTCTGAAGGAAGTGACTCGGAAGACATGTGCTACCAAGCAAGCGTCCTCGCGATTGAGAAACACCCACTGAATACTAATATGAACCAGGAAATTAACTTAATAGCACCCCCTTTAACAGTATTATGAAATATCATTCTATTATTCGGTTTTCATCACCAACAAATACATGTGGTATCGTTTAATGTTGTAGTTTGTCATGTTGTAGTTTTAGTACAGCGGATAAGCACAACAATTGTGCATTTTATGAGAAAAGCATGACATTTCAGCATAAAAAACAAGACATTGCACATAATTAGAAATTAAAAGAGTAGAAATAAAGATTTCAAAAATTTGAAAGATATCAAAATAGAAATTAAAAAGTAGAAAATATGCATTTGACGTGAAGATGAAACATAATAGAACATGTTGCTTACTTCCCATTGGAATTAATAAAGCATTTCGATTGTTTACATTTCTTTATATTATCTAAACACAATTGCGTTTCTAGGCAACAGCATGGTTCCATTCTTACTTCCTGTCAGCTGATGTCCTTCACTCGTTATTTGGAATGGAACCTTCAGAATTATGACATCATATTTTGCCTTTATGTAGAATTCTGAATTCTGCATTGATCTTCTTCAGAGCATCAGAGCATCAGAGCACCAGAGCAGCAGAGCAGCAGGAATTTGTCCAGCTAGTGTCAGATCATTGCAGAAATAGGTTTTGTTGCAAGCAAACATTAGGGATACTTGCAGTGTTTTTTAGCGAGATAATCTTCACAAGTGAACTCAACTTTTGTGGGATTTTTGTGACGTTAATTCAGTCGAACAATTACATTTAGTTTGCTAAACAACAGGTCATTTCGTCACAGCAGTAGAGATGGAGATGAACAATAGAGATGAGCTGGCAGTCAAGCTCGAGATTCTGCAAAAAGAAAATCAGGAAATTAAGTTGTGGCTGGAGCAGGAGAGGACTTTAAGGGATAAGCTTGAGATTGAAGGCGCTAAAAAGAAGGAAGCGATGCTCAAAGCATATACAGAGAATTCAGCTTTGCTGTTTAAGCACAATGTGAAAGTGAAAGCCCAGGAAATTGAGCAGAACGTCTTGCGCGTCAACAATGAGGACCTGAACATGAAATACAGAAACCTCCAGAGGTCACACAAGAAGGTCGAAGCCGAGATGGCTGCCTTGAGAAAGGCAAACCAGGAACTCAAACAACTGAAAGAACCCTGTGTTGAGGAGCAAGGTGTAGAGATGGCTGCTTTGCGTGAGACAAATCAGGAACTCCAACAACAGAAGCAGCGTTGTGTGGAGGAGAAGGATAAAGAGATAGCTGCCTTGCTGAAGGAAAACAAAACACTGAAACAAGAGAAGGAGCGTTGTGTTGAGGAGAAAGATGCAAAGACGGCCGCCTTGCAAAAGACTAACCAAGAACTCAAACAACAAAAGGAGCGTTGTCTTGAGGAGAAATCTGTAGAGATAGCTGCTCTGCGTGAGAGAAACCAGGAACTCCAACAACAAAAGGATCATTGTGTTGACAAAGCTGTAAAGATAGCTGATTTGCGTGAGAGAAACCAGGAACTCACAAAACTGAAGGAGCGTTGTGTTAAGGAGGAGGCAAAGATGGCCGCCTTGCAAACAACAAACCAGGTACTCAAACAACAAAAGTTGCGTTGCGTTGAGGAGAAAGATGCAGAGATAGCTGCTTTGCTGAAGGAAAACCAAACACTGAAGCAAGAGAAGGAGCGTTGTGTTGAGGAGAAGGTGGACAAGAAGGAGGATGTGGAGGTGAAAGTGGAGGTGGAACCAGAAGTGAGGCATGATGTTAAAATAAATGCCCTGAAAATTGAGCAGAAAGTATTGCGCGGAAACAATGAGGAACTGAACATGAAATATGGAAAGCTCCTCAAGATGCACGAGAAGGACAAAGCAGTGATGGCCACCTTGAGAAAGGCAAACCAGGATCTCAAACAACTGAAAGAACCCTGTGTTGAGGAGAAGGATGCAGAGATGGCTGCCTTGCAAAAGACAAACCAGGAACTCAAACAAGAGAAGTTGCGTTGTCCTGAGGTGAAACATTTTGAGATAGTCGTTTTGCATGAGAGAAACCATGAACTGGAACAACAGAAGGAACGTTGTGTGGAGGAGAAGGATGCAGAGATAGTCGCTTTGCATGAGAGAAACCACGAACTGGAACAACAGAAGGAACGTTGTGTGGAGGAGAAGGATGCAGAGATAGTTGCTTTGCATGAGAGAAACCACAAACTGGAACAACAGAAGGAACGTTGTGTTGAGGAAAAGGATGCAGAGATAGTTGCTTTGCATGATAGAAACCAGGAACTGGAACAAAAGAAGGAACGTTGTGTTGAGGAAAAGGATGCAGAGATAGTCGCTTTGCATGAGAGAAACCAGGAACTGGAACAACAAAAGGAACGTTGTGTTGAGGAAAAGGATGCAGAGATAGTCGCTTTGCATGAGAGAAACCAGGAACTGGAACAACAGAAGGAACGTTGTGTTGAGGAAAAGGATGCAGAGATAGTCGCTTTGCATGAGAAAAACCAGGAACTGGAACAACAGAAGGAACGTTGTGTGGAGGAGAAGGATGCAGAGATAGTCGCTTTGCATGAGAGAAACCAGGAACTGGAACAACAGAAGGAACGTTGTGTTGAGGAAAAGGATGCAGAGATAGTTGCTTTGCTGAAGAAACAGCTGAAAAAACCACCACCGGCACTCTCCGTGGTGAAGGAGGAGCTTGTGGAGGTAAAGGTGGAGTTGGAGGTGGAACAGGAAGTGAGGGTGGATCCACCTGAGCAAACCAATGAGCCGATCCCAACAACGCAGAGGAGGACAACACCACGGTGGAGAAGATTCATCAATTCCTTTTCTTGTATCCGCCCAAACATCAACGATGACTAAAAAGGAAAACATAAGACTCAAAGGCAGCCCTGACATCGGCTTTAAAAACTTTAAAAAACAAACTCACAACATCAAAAATTAGTAAGACATTAAAACATTTCAAGTACAGTCTAAAGCTCAAAGTGAGTGAGCAACAACATATACTCACAGCCAGTCAGGATATATATTTAAACACTTAACAGTTATTAGATCTGGTTAGACATCAACAAAGGTTCCAGAAGAGACTCACAGTGATGTGCAGTTTTAGCCACTAGGGGCAAAAAAACAACCTTAATTTTAAAATAAATAAACTATTCCTTTGCTTCTAGCACCCCTAAATAAGAGGAACATTTAGTCATTACAAGTTATCAGGTTTATGTTATATCGTCATGTTTGGTTTATAGTGTTCATTTTCATATTTAAGTTATATTTTTCATATTTACTTAATAGTTCATTTTTATATTTATGTTATATTTATCATGTTTAGTTAATAGTCAATTTTTATATGTATCTTATATTTTTCATATTTACTTAATAGTACATTTCTATATTTATGTTTAGTCCATTGTTTTCTTGTTAAGTTAAAGTCTTGTCAATCAATAAAAAAATAATAATCATAATGATAACAATACTGACACGTTTGATTTATTTCACGTTTGTTTCTCCTGTCTAAGTTTAGCTTCTTGCTTTTAATTTCAAGTCACCAGAGATTTAGTCTGAGAATTCAATTAATAATAACAATCAATACAAAGACATTCAAATTCAAAATAACACTAGAATTCTTTCTCGTTTGTTCCTCCTGTTTTTGTCAAGTTACCTTTGTATTGAGTGACTTTAGCTCACCTGGCTCTGCCCTGATCAATACACTGACTTAAAGCTACTTCAGTACTTACTTTATTACCTTGTTTACATTCAACAATTATCATAATAAATATAAACAAATGAAAAAACAACACTATGTATTTGATTTATTTCAAGTTTGTTTTAGTCAACTATTTGATTTTAAATGCAACAGCACCAGCAAAAGTAGATTTTTTTTTACATTTCTGCTGATGTCCAGGTGTACAGTATATCAGTATGTAGTGTCTCTACTTTAAAGAGTCCTCTCCTGCTGATGTTCAGGTGTATATCAGTATGTAGTGTCTCTACTTTAAAGAGTCCTCTCCTGCTGATGTTCAGGTGTATATCAGTATGTAGTGTCTCTACTTTAAAGAGTCCTCTCCTGCTGATGTTCAGGTGT